ACCCACGCGGCGCCGTCAAATTGCCAACGTGCGCGTACCGTTCTGAGTGTTGAGCAATGCGTAAAACGATATTGCGACCGGTCGATGATCGCGACGGTCCCATGGGGTCCCGGCGATAGCACAAGCCCCGGGTTTCTCCACCCTACACCCCTGTCCTTTCGGATCGTTGAAAATTCGTATTAACGAATCGACAGCCGTGGACAGATATACGCGGCTACGCGATTGTTTGATTGAAATTACATAAAACGTATAATATTTCGACTGTTAACAACAAGAGAGAACGTGGTGTTATAGTTAAGTTACCAGCGTAGGTAAACGGATAAAGATTATAGAACGACTAATTGGTGTCTAATAATTGGTGACTAATTTTCGTCCGTTGTTTGACAAATTATATTTTGCACAGTGCAGCAGCAATATCGCTCGCGTGTATTGTACATCCGCGTACGAGTATATGCTAGTAGGGAACGGGTTTGAATGCGAAATTCGTTTTTTTTCTGAACGTCCGAAAACACTGCTTTCTGACCACAAAGTTCAATTCGTACTTGGATGAATCGAAAAATGTAACTTTTCTTTGCATTTTTTCGTATTTTCAACACTTTTTTTATATTTTAGAGCATATTTTGACATTTTTAACACATATTCATGTCCATGAGTCATTTTTATATATAAATGTTAAATATAAATTTAGTCGAAATTAATTTATTCATTTGAAAACAGGCTTAATTTATTACGAATATTTATCTATTTAAATTGTATATTCGTTTTTTGGAAATAATTTAGATGATAAAATAAATATAAAAGAAAATAATAAAACAATTATACGAATAATTAATAAGAATAAGCATTTATTTAACAAAAAAAATCTGTTACGAGTGGATAAAATTATATGTTGTAAAAGCATTTTTCTTATATTTTACAGCATTTAAATCCGTTTCTTAATTGTTAGTGTAACGATAGTCGATATTTTACGAATAATTGAAGACAAATATTATATATCTCAAACCCGAAAAATTTGTTATTACATAATTTACAAAAAATTTAAATAATTAGAATACATTTATTTTTTGTTCGATAAAATAAATTTGTTGCTCTTCAAATTTTTCCGCCGGGTCTCACGGGCCTTGGCCAAAATTCGGCCCTTACTGTGAAGTATAATCCGTACGCACGTGCGTTGTTACGCGAATTCAATAATATTGATTTTTTTTATTCCATTAAGTTATTCGCGTGCGACGAGACAAAAGGAAAATGCGTCGCATAGACCGCGATCCGTCCGCATAATGTAACACTTATTGCACGTATGTTATAACATTTCATAAAATGCCGCACGAGTATGAAAATAAATAAAAACGCAATAAAAAAGAAAAATATCAAAATAAAATAAGTACTAATAAAATTACGAGTAAAAACCAATTTACGTGGATTCACGATGAGACGTAGTTTTTTCGATGGTAAAATATCGCGTGAAAATGTTTGGAATTTATGCGTATTTATTGTAATCCCATTGTTTGTCGGTGGAAGATATCAAGTATCCGATATCTTTTTTCGTTTTTCATTTCAAACTAATTATGTGAAGTATTATTCGCAGAGATAATCATTGAAAATTATAAGCAATAATAATACGCATGTCACTTTTGTTGTATTTATTGCATTGACAGTTGATGACAACAATGGTTTAATAACCTGGAAAATTAATAACACTAAACGGTTTTCGATCGCATTGTTTTACGTTATTATTAATATGCACGTTATTCAAACATACGTTCCAAAATGAAAATAACCTAGGGATTGGATTTAGAACAAATTTTTAGTTTACTTGATATAGACCTACATAACTATATTGCGTTTAAGATAACACTATTTCCGAAGACACATCACCAACGCATCATTATTCTATAGTATAGATAGAATCTATACTATTGCGGACAGAGCCGAGTCAAACATTTCAAAGCTCCGGGGCAAAATTTTTTCTTTGGGACCATTTTGGCACAGGTACCATATTAAATGCTAATAAGGGCGTCCCTTTTACAAAACTACGGCGCCCGGGGGTGATTGCCCCTTTGCCCCAACTTAATACGGCCCTGATTGCGGTAAATGTTAATTTTGATAGGAACGCATTGCCGTCACATTACAAGTGCGATCGATATGTTCAAGTATTATAATACGTTACATAATATGACCCGTGTGCAATGATCAAACGGATTTTAACCTATTACAATATAACCAACCGTTTCGTTCCGTAAACCAAAACAGTCCGAAAGACGTCCGTCCGTCTGCATGTTTAACTCGTGGTGACCGAACGTCCAGCGTTTGCCGCGTCCCCAATGAACCTTTGATCGTCCGAGAAAACTTCCTTGCGCAAGCACGTCGCGTGCAGCGTTCGACCCAAAGTTTTCTTCGTTCATAAGTTTATAGACGTGAGCGCGCCAAAATAATAAGTGATGGTGCCGTCCCGAAATGCGATTCAAGAAACCGATCATACGATATTGTAATCTTGTCAAGCCCTCTCCTGCAGCCTATACAAGAAATGAGGGTTGAGAAATTTCCGGTGCACACATAATACTCGTACATATAGGCATAATCTCGCACTGTATTTCACGGTAAATTGCATTTGATTGAATTCCCCTTTTGCTGCCTTCGTTCCCCGTATTATATCCATTACGACACACGCCCGGGCTCTGGATGAACCCATTTTATTATTTACGTCCGATCCGAACAATCTGTGACTAAAATAATATGCATAAAATCGCAATTTCCTATCTACTTAGTGCGCGTAATCATCGTATAACTAGTATTAATATTGTATTTTACACTGCGATGAAATATTTTTATTTAAAACAAATTCCAAAACCATAACAATTAGAAAAACATCGTCGTGAGATTTCGAACTACAATCAATTTTCATTTTACATTTAATGTAATTAAACAAAAAATGATTTTCTTCGCTTTTCAGTAATACGTTCTGATATTTAAAGTATTGGTCGTAAGTTATTATATAAAAGATTCCTAAGATGAATTGTATATATATGTATAAATTTATCACTTGTAACACAAGAACAGTTTTTTATAAAAAAAAACATCTTCATAAATCTACAGGTTAGGAATATTGGGAAAGTTTTTTTAGTAAATAGTCAAAAAATTGATGATTACCTTTTAAATATAAAAGACACTATTATTATTTTTTATTAGAATAAAGGTAATGACTTATCTACATAAAGATCTAATCTTATTCAATTGGTTTTATACTTTGTTACTCATTGAAATTAAATTAAATACTTTAATTTATCTTGTTTGGTTAATAATTTACATTAACTATCATATGAAATAATTTTTATTTTACTATTTACCGTTTCATTAAACGATTAAAAACTATAATTATAAAATAATATTTTAACATTTATTTTATTAATATTAATGAATTGAACTTAAAAGTTGTACACTATTTGAAATTAATAAATTAACGATATTTTAATAATAATTATTATGAATAATTAAATTAATTTAAAATAAACTAAAAATATCGATATTATATTTGAAAAGAAAGTAATTTTGCTAACAAATTGCCATAGTCATTAATTATCATTCGATTAAAATATTCTAATAATCAATCACCTATTTATTAGGAAATTAAAGACTGTATTCAATAACTTTATAGTTTTTCTATGTTCAGCTATGCTATTCGTAATAATACAACGTTTTATCGTTTTTAAATCTATCTCTCTCTTTCTCTAAATAAGTATTTAAGAATAAACTCATAAATCCATTTTGTATTACATTTACCCAGTTTTTTTTATGAAATAAAAGTGACATATTCTTTTACACGAATAATAATTATATTTGAAGTTATGAGCTTATAACTAAAATACCGCTTATAAATCACGCATTTATAATTAACTCACTATGTCATCCATGAACCATGACGAGTTTCCATTTAATATACAGTTATAATACTGTAAGGGTACATGTGAGAACCTCTCTTCCCTTTATACTGCTCGCTTGGAGTATCTCGTATTAAATTTTCATCCCTTAATTACATCCACATCGCGTAGGGCGCATTTTGAAAACAATTTCCATTTTTACTGTGATGTAAAAATTAACCTTTGAAAAAGATCTACCCAGGGTATTTTGAAACGATAAGAAATAAACACGCTCAAAATTGTAGGTGTAATATACATGAGCGTTTAAAAAAATTCGCACAATCAAAAAATTACCATCAAAATGCAAAATCACAATGACAATCATTGCAATTATTATTCAAGTTTATATTATTATTGCCTTTTAATATCGATTGTTAAATGTTATTTATAAAATGGTAATCTTTTTTTTAATTTGATACAAGTCGTCTAAGGTTGACTGTATAAACTTAACCACAAAATATGAAAATTACAATTTAAATTATTATTTAAACTATTATTATTATTTAAATTATTTAAATTACAATTTAAATAATAAATTTCTAGCATAATGCAATTAAATTGTATACGGTTATCTATTTGAACTTTTTAAACGATGCCATTAAATTTATTATTTAAAATTTAGATTTTTCAATGTGATCAATAGTTAAATTATTTTTATTTTACTTTGGAATTGAATGATATATAGTACATATTATATACTAACGGCTATACATAATTTGAATATTATAAATTGTTTTCAATCTCGTAAACCTTTATTCCATTCTTTATTCGCTGATTTTAATGACTACTTGATAATGAATATAAATACACATCTGTAGAAACTATACAAGTATATCAAATATCATTGGCAAAGATTGTCTATTTTTAGTTTTGAGTAAGGGAGTTATAGTTGAATACTAAAAACGATTAATATTATAAATAACTAAATGTGTTCATTTTATTTATAAAAAAAAAAAATCCCATTCAATAAAATAAATAAATTTAGACAAAATATAGTTTTTGATACCACATATATACTAATGGATTATTTTTTAATACTGTAAATTTAAATAAATCATTTTTGAACAAAAAAATTTCCCATAAATCTAATAATGACTACTTTTTATTGTTGACTTTGTTTTCACAAGTAATTTACGCTTGGTGAGTTCATCATGGTACGCTTTGCCGGTCCACAGCAATATAATTGATCATTGCACACAAAGTTATACATATCTACTAAGAAAATCGTTTTGGCGTCTAACTGTTGACATCCGTATGTTACGTCATAGTCATGTTTTTTTGTAGAGTCGTTGATGTCATTAGTTTGAAAGTACGGCCAATATTCCACCATGTTCATTTGATCCTAAAAAAAAAAAATCAGTTGTTACGGTAGAATTTAAAATATAATTACATAAAAATTTACTTAAAAGATTAAAGACTAATATAAAATATTTAAAATTATGTTTGAATCATAAATAATAGATGTGATAGTTAGTTCAACAAAAAAAAAAAAACAAATAAATAAATGAAGTCCACCAAATGTATTATGTCGAACAAGTAAAAAATGTATTAAAAAAAAAAAATATCGCAGGTAAAAAAGTTAAAAATAAACCCCTAAACACCAACCATTTTTTTCTCTAAAACCTGATTAAATGATTATGGTGCAATACTCTGAGTACTTTCCACACTTAGTTTGGCCTCTAAAAATATTGTTTTTTTTTCTCAGTTACATACTTTGTTCGTTGATCTTTTCGGTGATTCCTTGATGTCGTTGTTTCTACGACCAATTCTAGGCACTGACTTTGAAGCCTTTAAGAAAAATTCTTCTCCTGCGAAACCTCGGCGGGTTATCTTTGGATATGCACTGGCATCTTTCAGTATAATGTCACTAGCTGTTTCAAACTGATCGCTCCGTTCGAACCTAGATGAGGGCTGTTTGTCGTCCATATCCGTTAACCAAATGTTTTGCAGCTTTTTATCTGTATATTCATTAACTGATATTGCGCTCAGTGCATGCAAACACACTAAACCTGTAAAAGTGATCGTATGTTTTGGATTTTATTTTATTTGTTAACTAAATAAATACAATGTAGGTGTATATTCTCCTAAATACCTATAGTGGTTGGAAAATTATAGGGTTTTATCCAAAAAATAAACGTAATATTATAATTATATGATGAGGTTTTATGATAAAATTATACCTAGGTAAAAAATAGGGGAAAATTAAAAATATAGAAAGTTTAAAATCAGATATAAGTTGTAAGTTTTCATATTCATTGTTTTATGATTTAAATACATTTTCATTATCAATTTAATAATGTAGACATTATTACATCAACACGTAAATATACATTTATACATTTATGATACATTTGAAAATGTTATTCTCTATTATATTTGAATATACATTGCTGTATAATTGATTATTATTTATTTTTTATTTTTTTACTAGATGATGATTCATAAAATATAGTTATTTCGTGTGAAACAACTTTTGTTTGCGAATAAGCTATAATCAACTATGATTATATTTTATAATATCAAGAAATTAGAAAATAGTATATATGTAATAGTCCCGTTAACTCAAGGTAATCAATTTTTATTTTAACTAATATTTAATAAGTAACAATAATTAAAAACAATTTTCTGCTTAAATAATAATTACACAAGGAAGAATATTAATTTTTTTTACACAACGTATTAAATGATAGAAATTAAGATTAAATATTTAAACTGATTGCTGATTTTCTTAGTAAAGTATTATTGTAAAAAGTTTTTTATTGTGTTTTGTCCTTCAAACACTAGGCTAGTTACAAAACGATTATTGATAACCACTATAATGATTAGCAAGCGAATGATTTATATACCTATTTTGATTTATGATTTCCTATTAATTAGAAACTCTTACGCCTAGATGTTTATTTTTAAAATAACACTTTAATTTAAATATTAGGTTACTATAATATTCAGATTGAACAGTCATAATTTTAAGGGAAAATATCTTATTCATTATTTTATTTTTTTATTTTTCATTTCACCTTTAATGACGATTTAAAAGTTACTATTTACTACTAATAGTGTCATAGATTTTTTTTAAATAGTCATAATTTAATCACTTAAAATCTTTCTACCATTATTTTTAAGTACAATTTTAATAGAAATTATGGTTTAAGATTTTTCAACGTATATGATTAAATAACTAACGATTCACTATAATTTTAATATTATTAATATTATTAAAAAAATATAATAAAGTATAGTAAATTAAATTAAATAATTGAGTACAATATACAATATACAGTTAAAATATTTAGTTAATTAATGTGTTCGTGATTTTTAACGAAATAATAAAAACAAGTTACATTTTAACAACTACAATAAACTATGGATATACTGTGAATTTATTTTAAACACTAAACGGTTTTACTGTTCTGATATTTTTTACAGAATATAAGACTATTCGTTTTTGATAATAACTCAGCAATACATGTTTTTTAAATCATACTAGTTTTATAATATATTTTTTACAATATCATGGTTTTAAATTGTACAGTAACTTCGTGTGAACGATATTTAGATTTTATTCTTTTTAATAAATATTTAAAACTGAATTAATTATAATATATTTTATAATCAGCACTAAGACATTTTCAATTCGATATTTATAAACAATCAAAATATAATATCATAACATTTTATTTCACGTTAATAATAAGTCATTTATACACTACCTCTATACCACTGTAATTTTCAATATGAACACAGTTAATATAATTTATAATGTAATTAGTTATGAATAATTTTCACTGTAGGGCCTTTTTAAAAAAAAAAATATTTTTGTATTATACTCTAACCATACTCAGAATAATATCATCGAATTAATTAAGTGGATGGAATTTTTCGAAGTTTTCCATGGTTTATATAATCATTTGGAAAAACTAAAAAGAAAAAAAACTTGGTTTTTCAAGTAATCATAATTTTTATGTAATTAAATTTATTAGAATCGAAAATATAATATAATGCTAAATATTTTATAAAAATTGATTAAATACCTACATTTTTTGAGTTTATCGTTCAGTGAACAACTTAAATCATTTAAAATAAATTAAGTTTTCTTCAACTATCATAGCGTAAACTGTTTTACATACTATAATACGAATTAAATATGTGCTACGTGGCGCATGTATGTTATAGATAGAGTGAATGTACGTAGGACGTTGTGTTAAATTATGCATATCATATAAATTATAAATAAAGAATAATAAAAATAAATACCAATGCATGGATTGTGCTACAATGATCTTCGAAAATAGTGAATACTTAATTAATTGTAGTTTAATAATATTATTAAAATATAATAAGATACTTAAAAAACGATCGACTAATTATTACGTATAACTAATTGAAAATAAAATAATAATCCTCGCATATTTATATCATTTAGACCACTTTATATAATAATTACCGATGATAGTCAGATATCCACTCATTTCTTTTCACTGTATTAACTTTCGGTTCGTCGAAGAAATTCTGTAAAATAAATATTAATGCTATATAATGAACAGATTTTGAACAATATTTTTCATTAAATTTAATTATTTGTACGTCAATGTCATTAATGGAAAAAATAATTTTGCGAAAAATTTCTCAACATATATTAAATACATAAATATTCTATTTGTCTATACATTAAAAAAATATATATATGTTAATTTGAAAACTATTTTAGTTTGTAGACCCGAAAATATGAGAATTTAATACCAATGTGAATATTCCGTTTAATATTTAATAAATTAACAAATATGCTGATCTGTCATAGTAAAAATTAATCAATGAAAAATTAACCATCAACTTTCTTGTTGACTATTTTATTATTGTTTTTTTTTTTTAAAAAAAAAAAATACATTTTGATATAATATTAAATTACATATTGTCAATGAGTGGTTTGGATGTTTAATTGCTACGAGAATGTTTTTTTAGTAATCCACTAAAAGAATATTTGTTTATTTTTTGTGAAATATTTTTGCGTTATGTTTGTTTGTAACATAAGTATTTATTTGTTCGCTAATCAGAATCGTTCCAACAAAATGTACGTCTTAATTTGTATGCGTAAATAATATATATATATATATATATATAGTTTTAAACCAAACGTTTTAAAAAAAGTAGTAATAATAATAATTAATAATCAACAGCTCCTTTTATTTAATACGGCTTAGCAAGCAATTTTTTTATTCATCGAAGTACGTTTCTCTTGTTAAGGTTCTTGACGTCTATCAATATACTATTTGCTATGTCGCTTTCTAATTTTTGAAGTGTTTTCCCCTTGTTTTGATTCGATCATGAATGAAAAACATTTGTACATCACGCCGAATTAAAAAATTCCAGGTTAACGAAAAAGTAATACAAAAATAAAAACTGTGCTTAGAATAAAACAAAATGGAATGTAGGTACTTACAAAAATGTCCGGTTGAATACGAAGTCTACCGTTGCTGTCCAATGACTATCTGTTGAACCAAAGCGAATGTTCATATATAAAGAGCAAAATTTCAGGAGGCACTTGTCATATAAAATTTACAAAAATGTGTATAATAGGGGTATCGAGTGAATAACCTTGTTAAACTTCGATATTCATTAAGTGGGTATGTCGAAACATTGATGTAAGGTTGTAAAATAGTCATGTAAAAGCAATAATTAAACACATTTCGAACAAAAAACAATGAAACGCTACATGGCTTATAAGCGATCCCCGTGAACATCTAATGGCTGTTACAAAGTATTCATTTTTTTTCTTCTTGTTTTTTAGTTATAACAAATTTTAACTATATGGTATTGACCTCAGCAATGACGAAATACAAAATGAACGTGGTACGGTGAATAACCGAACGCTACAGTTTAAACTAGTCTGATTTCGGATTAATTTCAAATATTACTTATTTATAACAACGTGATTCTACTGCACTCATAAATGCTTTTCACGATTCGCCTTTTTCCGTTAACTTTATTGACTCGTTTTTAATTGCGTAATGAGACTCATCCGATGCAATTATGCGTATGTACATCTCATACAATACAACAGATGTATTGATTCCGAACGGCTACGTAATATTTTTAAATGAAATTCAGTTTATCACCGAATAACCGAGAGCCGAGAATCTTATTGTTTTTTACACGTGTGTTTATTAATTTAACGTTTTCCGTAAATCATAATCAAAAGATTTTATTCAACTGTTCAAAGTTAGATACTAATTGTATGTACCGTAGTTACAAAATTCGATTTTAGTTTATGTATAGTGTACGAACAATATAATAATAATCATATTCTATACATTATGTTTACTATACAGTATGTTAATTAATTGGAAAGTCAGTAGTTATTACTTCTAATATAATTCAGGTTAGCTATTTTCGAAATTGTTCAAAAAATTTTTTTTGAAAAATTAAAAAAAAATGTTGGTAGTTTTGAATTTTGAATTTTTTTTTAACCATGGTAAAAGATGGACTATAAATTACAATTATGTTTAAAAAAACGAAATTTCAATATCTGCATTATATTATGAGTAATAACTACTGACTTTCCAATTAATTTACATACTGTATACCACTGTGTTCATAATATAGAATTGAAATACAATTGAACTTATGATACTTTCAATATTTGGCATTATAATATAATATAACATGCGAGATTGTAATGATAAAAAACTAAGTAATATAAAAAATATGTTATTAGGTTTGTAAACAGTACTCGGAATAATAAAATAAAAAAATAGTATGAAGTATTTGAAATTAACAGAATTAAAATATACTTACATATTAATAATGTTGAAGCAAATTTAACTGTATTAATATTTCAAATTAAATTGCAGTATACGTTTTAAATTTGTAGATGAATTATCATAAAACTATATAGTTTCTACATTAAGGTATAGAAAACAAGTTTTATAAAATTCAAGTTTTATTATACATACAAGCATCTTTTTATTATTAATTTTATACAATCTCAAAATTAACAAATAATAATTGAGTATGGTATAATATATTATACTTTTGTAAATTAAATTACATTTTTTAAACATTTCTTTTCTATAAAATAGAAAATTTCATAACTTAATTAGTGCCACTGTATTATAAATCAATTTTACCAAACACAAATACCTACATTTAACTTACGTATCAAGTTTTTTCGTACTTAGCTGCTTAAATTCATTACTCAATTAAATTATAAACTTACCACTTTAATAATAAAAATACTCGTGATATATTTTATATTAAAATATAAATTATATGAATACATACTTGATGTATCTGTAAAAACTACATGATATTATACCACATAGTGTATAAAATATTACATATCAAATCACCTATAGTTAAACTATAAATTATGAAAAGTAAAACGATACATATGAAGTTTTATCTTATTAGTAAATTACCGTTTAAAACGTGTCTATGATGTGTAGTATATTTAACCAAAAGTTTGTTGATTAAATTTTAAATACATTTTTTCACGATATATTTTTTCTATTTAATCAAAAAATCATGAAACTGTAACACTAAATAAAAAACAATAAACATATTTTAATTTTTTCACTCAATACGTTTATAATTATCATTATATCGAAAAACATTCACTCGATTCCTTCCAAATAGAATGGACTACAAATTAAAAAAAAAATATAATATCTGTATTCATTTAAAAATCTAATACTTATCTATTAAATACTTATATTATGTGTAATTGTTGGAACAGTGACAAATATTTATTTTTATTTTTTTGATTTCGCGTTAAATTTACATTCCCAACGAATTGTCTTTCGATAAACTTGCGATCAATTGACATATTACACGTATCCGGTCTAATTTTAAAATTAATTTCATGTTTATATCTCTGATCTTACAACTTGTGGGGTTTTCTAAATATTTTAAAGCAACGATTACATTGAGATATTATCGGTCAAATCTAATTACATCAGATAGAATGGAAAATAAACGTTTTTAAAAATTGTCAAAATAAATAATAGTATAACAATATGATTTTTATAAATAAAATAAACACATTTATTAAAACCAACAAGTCATTTTGACTACACCCGAAGAATCTAGTGGTGTCTCCATAGTGCTTTGCTGTCTAGTAAATTTAGGTCTAGCGCTTCCCGATGCAAGTGCTGTTGTTTCTGTTGTTGGAGACATTTCTAGTCTTTCGGTAAGATCTTCATACGAGTTTGAGTGCTCTGGTGGCCTGTAAATGAAACGTTTTCATTTATAATGAAATATTATCCAACATCTAAATACTGCCGGTACAGCATATTATCGCGATCCGCGCACGTGAGAATAGTATAAAATGATAAAATACAACTATAAATATAAATTAAATATTCATAAATTATTTTTGCAAACTATAAAAATTACCTTTTAGGAACGCAGTTTATACAATCTGTCACGGACCAATTTTTTCCGAATTCTTCACCCTCTTCGACAGTTTGCGGCAACTTATAATGTAGTGTCTCGGGAAGTCGAAGACCTGTTATTCCGCCAATGACCGACAATATGCCCATGATCAACAACGGCAATACTAAGTTTTCACGGCCCTTCGGATTAGCATTTAAATTAAAACAGTGTAAGTACTTGTTTGATTTTACTGCATACAATTTACATAATTTGATGCATCAGGTATGTTTATAATAGGAGTTGGTTTCACATATAATGAGAAGAACCCAATAATATTTTTTAAAACAGTATTTCATTAAACACATTGAGTGTTTAATAAAACTAGGCCGTAGCATGTCATTCATAAATGCATACAACTATTTATTCAAAAAAGGCATGTTTTTTTTTTTATACACATTCAATTAGTGGTATTCAGTTCTCATACAACAATATATTATTGATAATAATATTCAAAGCCAACTTATATGTAGTTCAAATTGTATTAATAAATCAGATGATTCGGTGCTAAGAATTGTAGGTATTACTTTGTGTGTGTTATTAAATTATTTAAATTATTTAACAATTGCCGAATTTTGGCCTAATCCCGTGAAGCCCGGGCCTAGGGCGCGGGAAAATTTGAAGAGCGGCAAATCTATTATACCGAACCAATAATAAATGTATTTTATTTATTTTAATTTTTTAAAGATCTCGTATTAAAAACAATTTGGGTTACGGGTATATTATTTTTTTCTATATTTATTCGTAAAATATCGGCATCGTTATACTGATAATTTAATATGTGGATGTCATTTTCAAACTTTGCAGAAAATATTATAAAAAAAAAAAAAAAAAATTAAATAATATTATTTAATAATGTTTTTCTAATTATTTTATTTTCAATATAATAAAGCAAATTTCTAATAATTAAAATTTGTCTTTTTTTCATGGTAAAAAGGTATACATTAGGTAAAAGAGTGGTAAATCATATCGGGACCAATAGCAGCACTATGGCTAAATTCAGCCATCACTAAGAATATTAAAAATAACAATAATACTATTTTAACTACGATAGAAATGTTTTACATGTTGTAATATATTAATATTATGATAAATAAATCTTGATTGCGAAGAGTTTAACAAGGATTTTAAAATGCCTCGCGTAAAATAGATAATGCAGAAATACTCGATAAAAATTTTTTTTTTAAAATTATGGTTTTTGTATACTGCCCAAAATGGTTGTCGGATACTTTGAGCCTTAAACGTGTATACAATTCAAACTGAAAACTAATTTTTGTTTTTAAAGTATCTGTTACACTTTGTTTTAAGAGGCAACAATATACGTATTTTAATATAATTTATATCCCAAAAATCGTACAACTTACTGTGCGTCATTACACAAATAAACCATTTATTAATTATTTGATTATTGACAAAACTTTTTAATATTATTATACACAGTAGACAATAGAAAGACAATTATCCGCAGTAATTGGTACCAAGGGAGTTTTAGTTAATCAATTTGTGTAAAAATTCAAACGGTAATTAAAAGTCCATTTGATACATTCAATGTATACACAAATTATTTTTATATACAATCATAATTCGTGTGTATTTTTTTTTCTAAATGGAATTTTTCTTAATGGAACGTTTTTAAAACTGTAAAGTTTTATTTTATTTCAAATAGTAAATACGTACGGATTAACAAATGTTCGCAGTTGCCCTATCGAAAAAATGTGTGTTCTATAATATGACGAATTTGTTAACGAAAAATAAATATATCACGCAACTACACACAAAACTTTTTAACAGTATTGATAGTTTGAAATATTGTATTCATAAACTGTACGTGCATACCTATCATAATTTTTTTTATAAATTATAGAGATTTTTTTTTACTCTTCGCGTTGAATGGAAATTATTAAAAACTTACATAACCAACTACAATGTTCGCTCGTTTATCTACCATTCGTATATATATACTATATATTATATATGCTTTGTGTTGCTTAAATAAATGATACAATCTAAATTATTGTCAGATAAATACTATTGTTTATTTTTTTTTTTATACAGACTATGTTGTATTTCAGCTTAGGTTTTTGACCTCACGTCATTACTGCTCTAGTTTTTTTTTTTTTATTTAAATCAAAGAAGCCAAAAAAAAAAATTTAAAAAAAACTGATATTTCATTCGTGTTTATTAAATACTATTAGTCTATACATAAACTCAATGTTTATTTGTTGTGTCTAAAACATATATTATTGAACGGTCGGTTGTTAATTCGGCATACACATCAAAGTTACATAGACACTGTAATTCGTAGCTCAGGAAGTATAATTCATTATACACTTATACACCTATTGTGTTACATAAAAACACATCTATATCATATATCACGCGAATGGTTAACATAATAGCTAACCAGAGTACGAATTGCCGATTCGTTCTCTAGTATTAAATTTAATAGTACCTACCTTTCAAAAATGTCTATGACAATAAAATATATTGCTCAACATATTTTGAATTTGGTATTTAAAAATAAAAACACATCAATAATTATTTCTAATAATGATTTATTTCCTAATCGTTAGTATCAAAGTTTAAACCATAAACAGTATATTTTAAAAAAGTAATAAAGTATACCGACTGGCAACTACTTTTGATATTAGTGTATTGTGTACCATGTACGGTTTTAAAATGAACGTATATCTAAAATTAAATGATTTTTTTTTTTTTTTAACATTGTATTTTAGATAATGTGCAATTTACTTCAATTTGTAATAGAACAATACCTATATAAATAATTGTATTTTAATTAATATATAATTTATTCATACAAATATTGAACAGTTATGTGGATAACTGATCATATAGATTAGGCAGTGCCGAATTTAACCATTGTGCCGCTTTAAGCACTAAACAAATTGCCGCCTTTTAATATAAATATTTTTCTAGTCTAAAAAATGTTATTAAAGCGTAAAATTATAGTTGTTTCCTTTATTACTTAAAATTGTAATAATGTAAAATAAAAATATAAAGCTGTTATAAAAATGCATACATCCATATGAAAAACTTAATTATAAGAATATGATGTAAAATAGAATGATTTTATAATTAGTTGCATTTATTTTAGTTCTAGTTACATATAATAAAAATGTAATATTAAAAATTATTTGCCGCCTTAAACACTAGCTTATAATGTTTACTGGAAAATTCGCCACTGAGGTTAAGTTTATATATTATATATTCAAAGAATATACTTGCTATTTAAATTATTTAAATGATAATTTTAACAAATTAATAAAATAATTTTTTTTTTTTTATTGGTAGCAGTTAATAATTGGTATTAAATAATTTTGTTTTGGTCAGGCATAACTAAGAGCTATTACCGAACTATAGATATTATAACAGTTATTATAATTGACTAATAACTAATTATTAGTTTAATATATTTACCAAATAGTTAATGAATGGTATTAAAACAAGTCCAAGGCCAGCGATGTATGCAGAAGTTCCAATACCAACACCACGTAACGGGGTTGGATAAAGTTCGCCAGCAAACGGATAGATTATTAGAAATGAAGCTGATATTGTGAACTTCGAAAATAGGAACAGTACCAACGTTGTAATAACAGCATCTAAAATAACATTTAAATCGTTACAAATCGATATCAATAGATAAATATTATGGTACTCGCAGAGCCGTCCTAAGGATTTTTAGGACCTAGTGTAAATTAATTCTAGGGCTCCTCAATCATCATAATAAAAAAATAGACACCAAGTTTGTAAAATGTTGGAAAAATATATTTTTCTAAACCTCAACCAATCAAGGTCATTTAAATGCATCGGTACAATGAATTTTATTTTTAATAAGTTCTCTACAATAAGTAACCAAATACTACATTTAATACAATATTAAATATTTATAAACTAAAATAACTGAAAATTAAACCTAAATAATAGTGATTAAATATAAATCTAAATTAATTGTATTTATTTAATAATTCAATTGATTAATAATTTTTAAAGAAAAAATAATTTAGAAATAAATAATTATATTAAGATCAGTATTTCTATTAATTCTAGACTTTAAGGAGGCCCGTTTAAATTTTTCTAGACTGGGGCCTGGGGAGAAATGATCCCATTGCCCTCCTCTCGTGGTGATAGCCCTGAATACTGACTCCAACACACTTCAATTTTTATAAATCATTATTTAAATAAATATTTTTGGAAAAAAATATCCATAAATAATGTTAAATATATTTTTGGTGCGAAATAACTCCAATAATTTGAATAATAAATGTTTATCCTGTCAGCTTCAATATTTTCTCATCGACCATAACATGTTACATTACGTTTCTCGAAAATAATAGTTATAATAATAATAATAATTAATTATTAATCGATAAATTTATTAGAGAGAATTGTGATATGCAGTGCGCTCTAGTTACGAAAAAAGTTAAGAACCGTCATTACTTTTCTCGATACTACATTGCAGTGCTTTAACGTTTTGACGATCAAACTGTAAATATTTTATATATTTATATTACTTGAAAAATTCATTAAACAATTATTGTACTTAAATATTACATATGAAAATGAGTGCATAACTGTCCTTTTTTTTTTTATTTATTTTTTTTTTTAATTCTATTATTATTCGAATAATCATAATAATTGCTAGCGCTTAAAATTGTTCACTTCAAATTATATAATGAATTGTAATATTTCTCCAATCATACGTAACTCGTCGAATAATGTTTACCTGGTGGTAATGTAACAGTGATAATGCAACTAATACCACTCAAAGTCATTGCCAGGCACAAAGGCCATCGGCGGCCCCATCGGTCCATGAGCAGCCAACACACCAACGAGCTTGGTACTTCCACAACGGACGATAGTAAAAAGCTCAAATAAGGATTTTCTCCCAGCGCTGGACCGTAGTAGCTAAGCCCGATATACACCATATCGTTGGCGAACCTAAAAAACAAATGTAGTGAACGGAGTTTATCTCAGTGTGACAAAAACAAAAGGACAGACCAATTGAATGTAATCAAAATTGTTTTCAAACGCATGTTCGGTGTACGGCAAAGCGCTAGCACTCCTGGTCCTTCTTTTAAACGTTTTTCTTCGCTCAGGGTTCTTTGCATCATCATTTTTTGCTGCAAATGAAAATTGTATTCATTATTTTACTAACGCGATGAAATATTTTACTATATAAGCAAATTATTTATTTACATAAAAATAAATCGCATATCGTTATGCCGTTTAAGACTGGACGACTAATTTTACAGTATAGTTTAAAATCTAGTATAAATCTATTAAGAAAAAATAACTAAAACGTATTATCCGTTTATCAAATCGTATTTGAGATTTTGACAAAAGGAAAAAGCGTGCTGGTTTGACTATAGATTTTTGTTATTAATTGGTCGGGTAGTGAAATTGCATCGAAAGTTGCACACAGTGATCTATATACTATAGAGTTCAAAACATATCCTAATCTATAGTACATAATATATTGATGGTAAACGACAATAATACATTATTTTCGACGAAATCTGAACGAAAACGTACCTTCAGTTTTTGTTTAAACGATTCCGGCAGTATGGTTCCATTGACCATGGCTAAAGTTTCAAGTATTTTTAATGCTTCTTCTATTCGACCTTTGGCCAGCAACCATCTCGGCGATTCCGGTAGAAACCTGAGTGCACAAAACCATCATCAGATAAGCGCTTACTGCTTCGATGGTAGCATTTATTTAACATAACAATTCTAACTTGCCACCAGTATATAAAATACAAAATAAACGGAGTAGACGTCGCCAATGTCAAGTACACCCAATCGCGTACAAAGTAAGTAATGCCCGACAAAAGTACTAGGCCCAGTGTATAGAACATGCAAGTCATCACAGTAATGAATGACCTGTAGTTGGGCCCGACGAGTTCAAGAGCTAAACGAAAAAAATCCAATTCAATTATTGCGATTATGTTCAGGTTAACAAAATTCGTTAACGAGTTGATTACATAAGATTTTTCACAGATATTTAAAATGTTTTGATGCAAAGCAATAACAAGTGGTTACAACATCTTATAATGTTGACTGCAGTCATTATACATACATGTATTTGTTCGATATAACGCATAACGTTTTAACGGTCGACTACGAGATTATACTTTATTGATTCAATATGGCATTCGGTATGGATTTACGTTTTCAAAAAGAATTCTGTTCAGATAAAATTACGCGGAATTTCCTTGAAATACTTTTTTTCATATTTTTATATCATATTAACGGTTTCATATTTGCGTACATTTTATTACCTCGTATATATTAAATATATTTAAAAAAAAATCAATTGTTAAAAAGTGCATGATAAAGAACACAATAAACAAAATAAATAATATCAGGCGTTTCGCATACTACGTGTTTTGTCTTTTCGGTGACGGTAAGTATAAAGAGTTTATGTTGATACCGGACACTCAAGCCTGACAATAGGGACAAAACTTACAGATTGCATTACAATTAACTGAAAACGCTATCATCTTCCCGTGATACGACAACAGCATGTTGTTATTAAGTAATTATACTTATAACACTTGTGCAAAACTAGTACTTCGAATTATTTCATGACTATCAGAAAATATAAATACGGAACGCATATTGTTTTGTTTGAAATTACCGAAGTCCCACGTTGCGAATTCCGCCTATTCAAATAAAATTAACAAGGTTTATGATTTTCATCAAAAATTTCGTTTGAATAAACGTACAAAAGTTGTAGTGTTTGTTTTCCAAACGTTTCAGTTCGTACTTACATATGATGAATGGAATTTGATAGACAGCGGGTATAGTCAAACCTACGATCACTCTAGATGTGGCCCACCACCAAAAGTTCATTGCACTCGCAGTCAGTAGGCTACCGGTAATTAATGTAGCCAAACATAGAAAATATGATTTCCGTCTTCCGATTCTGTAAAAAAAAAGAAACAATATAGTCTTAGTGATATAACGTAAATACTGACGTAACGTCTAGTTTTTCCGTCATCGGATTATTTTCACTCACCTGTCATTCAAAACGCCGAAAAAATACACGCCAATAGGTCCTCCTAAGTTTAGAGCTGCTAGTCCGACCGTCGGGTATATGTCGTTTTCACAGACCAAATCGAACTAATAGAAATAAAATGAGGATATTACACGTCATAATTATTTTAATACGACGTTTAATAAAGCCCCTTAACAGTGTACCAAACACTTTTTGTATATTACACATGAAAACATACCGAGTTGCCTGCACGGTACGCCGTGCTCTGTACTAATCGTGTTCAACTTACGATTTTTAAGTCACGAGAAGGGCTCAACTTGTAGCATTTAAATATTATTTTTGAGAAGTCCTAGAAATATGTCCAACGTGAGCTATAAATTTGTTTCAGATAACTAAGAAATTAAATACGAAATTTTATGTTGCAATATTATTGCATGTTTAGAAATTTGTTATTTGCTATTTGGCTATTTTAAATCTTTTTCAGTTCCGTAGGTTTTAAAACATTTTTTCTTAAATGTAAAAAGTAATTATAGTAGTATTAATTATTTATTAACTCATGTTAATTGATTAATTCTTCTTCTTTCGGTTTAAATTATATATTTATTTGTGTCATATAGCGATCAGTACTTTAATAATAAGAGTTAAGACATTTTTTTTCGCATATTTTTGTATTTCTAGTGCGTATTCAAGCACTTGAATGAAAATTTTTACGAGCATATTATAGCGCTTACAACTACCGTTTTTAGAGCTATAAGTTATGAGCCCTGGTCATAAGTGTTATGCTTCATTTGTATTTAATCGCGTTCTATTGTTATATTACTCGTTGCCTCAGGCCGAGTAGTAAATCTGCATCGAGTGTTAATGTTTTAGCCAGTTGTGCAACCCGTTCTACCGCTCAACCTACCAGTTCAATCACTTCCCGATCCCCGGCCCGATGATTGTTCGTCTCACGAAACGTCCGGTGTAGCAATCGTATCGTTACCATATTGAATCCGTTCCGCTTAACTCCCGTTCGTCCCCGATGCGTTGTGTTCAATAGCGCGCCGTAAGTGAATTGCCGGTCTCGCAACGTTAATTATAATTATTATTATTACGATGATGTGTGCGCTCGGAAATCGAGAAAGCGTTCGACGACGTTTTCCAAACGTTCTACTATCGACCGTGATCGATGACTCGGATCGTATGGCGATTGTTGCGTTCGGATCGCATACGTTGTCGCGCGCGATCGTAAAACGTCGCGTGTACCGTCACGCGCGCGCGCGCCCCCTCGATCGGATGACGATTACGGCCCAATGTGCGCCCGCAACATCGTCGATAATTATAATGCTCCGCGTTCGCTACCCGAAACGCGCACGTAACATAATATACGACCCGTTGGACGTTACACGCCTCTGACCGGTACTTGTCCGGTGGATGACAATTGACCGACGTCCGTTTGCCGACGTTTAATGTCGTAACGGATCGTAGCGTTAATTTTCAGCGGTCTCCGTAAATTTTTTTTTTTTCGTACGGAAAACGAATACGCACCGCCGTTGACGGTACCGGATAGAGGTTCCGATACCGCCCTGCAGCAAATAATGTTCGCCTTCCCCCCCCCCCCCCCAAAATAAGGTTTAAATGAGACCAAAAAAAATAATAATTCCTGATTTCTATTTACAAATTAAAAAAACAATATACCATTATAAAATATATCTGATATAATAATGAATCTATTTATACTAAAAAGTATAACTATATGTTTAATGTCCTAAAATAGTTTTCCAAAGAATGATTTTAAATTTTATTGGAAATTAGTTACGATTGTAATATTAATAAATTGATTCAAAATTATCGATAAACAATCAAAAAAAAAAAAAAAAAACTAATAACATTATTTATTTTTCTTTAAATATATTCTTTTATGGATATAATAGTTGCAAATAGTTTTATTAGTTCTTCTCATTTTATTTCCTCGACCAAATTAGATTTTATACATAAAAATGATAAATCGGACATTTTTTCTTGTATTAATGACGATCTTAAATAATTTTTTACACGTTTTAAAACAGTAAACGATGTTTTGCCATTTACATTTGAAGAAGACAAAGTGCAAATAATTCTTAAAATGATTTCGATATTAGGGAACGATGCCTCTAAAGACGATGTTTTCATTAGTGATGTAAAAGTATTTTTAGCTTCTGATAGAATATTTTAAACAATAATAATTTTGAAATTTACCAACTCTTCTACAAAATATATTTTTATGTTTAAATTGTATATTTCAACAATTAAGAAAACGACAACTGAAAATCAAATCGGAATCATAGAAAATACTATAAATGACAATAACACATCTACCAACAAAACATGTAAAAATATTCAAAAGTTTTTTCACTTTATGGAACACCCTGTATATTTTTTTTTCTAATCATTAGTGAAAAACTTTTGCTTAAATAATTATTGTACTTAATATTTATTTTTATTTTTTTTTGTGGCAATTTTATTTATGCCACCCTAATAAATTTATCGCCCTGTAGCAAATTCTCCTTTTGCATCTAGGTTAATCCGGCCCTGACTGTGAATCGTTGTATGACCGATGCGAACGTAAGTCGTGACACTGGGAAATTTATATAATTCTATCGAATCGAAATAATAACGTGATGAACCTGCGATCGTCACCGTCGCCGACTGTACATATTTTTATTGCACTTTGACACCGTAATCAGGTCCGACCGCGAAAGTCGATTTAACCGTTATTTGCTGTAATGTGCGAACAAAGACAAATTAAAAAAAAAAAACTGTTATTGCCACATCGAAAACATAACGACTGCAATGATGATAATAATAATAAAAAAGCGTATGGGTAAAATCTTTTACAATTTTACAGGTTCGAATTGCGTTATTAAACAATAACACCGCTGCCAATGTTTTCAGTTGACTAATCGAATTTCATTGATAATTTGTAAAAAGACTGCTGTAGTTATGCAATTACGCCAAACGACGAATTAATTGTATATATTTTTACATGTATACCTAACCTAACCACATGTCTTGAGTAAACGTGTGAATAAAATTAAACATTATAAACAAACGTAAAAATACGTATAAATAAACATAATATACAGTGATTATGAGCTTATGGTGTTTTTTCTGTGTATTATCACTTTAAAATATATATTTATATATTTTTAAAAGCCTATGCTATACAATAAACGAATTAATATTTTAAATGGAATCAATATTTTGAATTTTCTAAGTTTCAAATAATATTCTATATAATAACGTGTACGTACATATATATATATGAGTACAATAAAACATACCACAAAAAAAAATGGAGGTATTTACACTAAAAGATATCACTAAATAATTTAGTTTGATTAATTTGTATTGTAATGGGATTTTCGGGAAACCAAAGGGAGTATAAAAATATATAATTTCAGCTAAATTTCAAATTGTTAACCTGGACTGTACGTGTATGCTCAATACAATAACATAATTAAAATTACATCAAGATCAGATTATTCGTAAATATTTTACTTCAACATACTACAGCTTTGCCAATTTTGTAATTAGAAAAATACTTTTTATACAAATTTTGTTTTAAAAAATATACCACTCTATTGGAATGTATAGAAAAAATATGGTGTTGACTTTCAAAAAAAAAAAAATTTGTATTGCATATGTGTGTACAGTCCGGGTCAAAAATATGAAATTTAGCTGAAATTATGTATTTCGGTACTTCCTTTTATTTCGCGAAAATCCCATTCCAATACAAGGTCAACCAACTAAAATATTCTGTAGTACCTCTTGAACATACTGTATACTTACACATACTCGTATTGTATACTTAAATAATATTTAAATTCTAATATACGGTATACCAATTAGTGAACTGTCGTAAATTATGCATTGTTGTTTTTAAATTATATATTATTATGTGTACTCATTGAATAGTAAACTTTCTTAAAACGAATTTTCTTTTTACGTTACATAACACTTTGAATTGGTTATATTTCTTCTTTAAATAATGTTTTCTTAGGTATGTAGGTACTATAATATAATATAGTATATACTGTAATATTATTAAATAATTTAAGTACTAATATAATATATTAAATATATACTATAAAGTATAAATATAAAGTATATAATATATTAAATAAGAAAATTGTGGAATTAATTTAATCTACTTACATCGATTACAATTGAAGACTTAACAAGACTAGTATCATATTCCCAACTGTTACATTTCTCCAACGACCAACTTTCGTTTACTAACTGTTCAAAGTTTCTGGGGATTTCAGAAAACATCAAAACTTCTGTCCAGTTCACTGCATACCGCATACATCCTTTTTTCACTTGAGTGACGTTACTCTGAAATGATAAAAGATCTATAAATATGTTTAAGGGAAAACATAGTTTGTAAGCTATTAAGTTGTAATTCTTTTATTATTATACTCATTTGAAAAATACATTTTTACTGATGCAAACGAGTATTCATTATACAATGGGCCTATTACTAACATTTTGTAATTAAAAATCCGATTAATATACTATTACGTATACGATGATGGATTTTAAATATTCCAAGATGATAACTTAGAAAATAATGAGAAACCAAAGGAAATATTATACCTCTTTAGAAAATAAAACAATAGATTTCGTTAATTTAAACAAAACGTATGATGGCTACAAATATATTCAAGCTGTGATCAAATTATGTAGGTACTTATTTATTTCCTACAGTCGTAGAGATTGCAATATCATGCTATATTAATCAATAGTATTAATAAAACAAATATTTAATCATAATAAACACGCTTTGAAAACATAATTATAACATATTTAATACGTCATTAGAACAACTTATGGATTTAATATAATGATGAAATATGCGTGTAACAAAAATTAATTGAATTTGGGGAATGTGTTAGGCACTCGACAAGTTCAACAAGTTCATTTTAATTTTATACAAATATTTGAGCTTCTGAGAATTCTTAAACGTTTTCTTAATAGCATTTTATTTTTATTTCAAAGTAAATATACATTTTACGTATTTTAAGATCAATGAAGGTAACAACAATTAATATTTTATTATACATTTTAAAATATTAAATCCTATAGTTAAAACATTTGTATTAAATTATTACAAAATATAAAACTAAACTTATCCGGCTGTTCGTAGTCTTATATCATAGCAGTGATAATTATTAATTTCGTTTTTTCTTGATTATATTTACTAATATTTTTATTCGAACTAATAAATTTGTTTGTATACATAGGATTTGGCCGAGGTGGCATGATGTAACACATTTACCATTTTAATTTTAAATAAAAATGAAAATCCATCAGGAATAATTCAATAAATTATTTCATTCTACTCACATATGAAACAAACAAGTGAATAATTTATAAATCATGTATAGTTTTAGCTCTTTGCGTTAGGCTAATTCAGAAATTTGAAATACATTGCATTCAAACATGAACAATTACAGTAGTCTGTTTGCAGCTGGTAATATTCTTTTATAAATACGTCTTATGAAGTGTATAATTCAATTATTGTTCGATTATTACTTGTTCGTAAATTTGTCTTCTCTGTGCTACGGTGAAATTAGACAGCTGTGGCTCAGCGCACCAGTATGGCGGAGTATCGGACATGAACAGTTGGTTGAATGCTCCGAAACCACATGGTATGCATGCGGGCAAACAAACAAGCCACAACAATAACTTTTGATAACGACCGAACTCTCCAATGACCGGCAAAACTTCGTCCAAGTCTACTTCGTCCTATGTACCAAAACAGTGATGTATAACAGGTACTTGTTATAAATAAATGGTACCAAATGTTTTTTTTTTTTTTTAAAGTTCAACAATTGCGGTGCTAAGTCGAAAAAAAATTATTATGTCCTCAATTTGCTTTTAATATTCGTATAAGATTAATAGAAAATTTGGGCGAATATTATACCAAAGTCTCGTATCCAATACAAAAGGAAGCTAACTTAATGATAATCAATTATTCCGATGCCGTTGAACACTAGAATTCTTCTTTGTAAAATACACTATTAATGAAAACAGTTCAATATACTTTAAGAATTATTACGTACATTTGGTTTAAACGATAGAGAGAATGCGCTGTAGTATATATGAAGCATTTGGCACGTAACACTAAATGCGATGGAATTTAGGCCAAAAACAAGTCGTGAAACAAATTAAAAATATTTATAAAAAACATGTGTTTTTTTAACAAGATTAACTATATCCTATGTTTATTTTAGTATAAGATGTATTACCTATTTGTTTCAAATAAAATTAACCAATTATTCACTTAAATAAACGTTAAAATATCTTACGTGCTGTTTATAACAATGTTTACAGGAGTTTATAATAAATAAATCATATAAGTAAGATAAGTAAATCATAAAAGATTGAAAAAAAAATCGTTACAGAAAAATTTTCTTTAATATTTAAAATTTTAATTTCGAATCTTAAATTATGACGTGTTGCTATTAATCAAGGAGATGTATGAAAAGGAATTATTATTAAACTTAAATTAATGTTTATGATTAACAAAATAATTATTTTTGTAGTTAGAATATGATATAAGTAATGGTTATGTAATCATAATAAAATGTTAAAAATAGGAATACTTACTTGTTTATACATAAAAATAAATCATAAATTAAAATATGATTATCATAATAATCAATTTTCAAATTTTAAACTCTTGAATAAATTATTATGACTCATTATTTATAAGCTCTCAATAAATTTAAAATGAAGTATGCTATCTTTTTAGGTATTTAAAAGATTTTGTATTGCATAAATTCTCAATATTACAACCAAAATAACTAGAATACGGATTGATTTCTATCCCAAAATTTAATAGATACTTTGTTTCAATAATTTTAAGTATTTATAAAAGTAAACTATGTAATGTAATTTAAAAAAAAATTGTTTTAACTGATTTCTTTCCAATAATACAGTTATGCTCAAGTCAATAATACTGATAACACAAAAGAAAGATATGTTTTAATCTTTTTTTTTTAAATTATATTTATTATTTTATTATGAAATTCAATTTTAAATATTTTTCTAATTTTTCATTAAATACCTTTGATGACAATAATACAGTTGTAAATGTATTTAGTAAAACGATAAATTTCTTCTGCGTAGTAATTTCGAAAAATAATTTCCTACGCTTCCGAAATTATATGTGATCACTGTTGCTTTATTTTATAACTATCGAGAAAAAACAAGATTAAGGAAATAAAATATATTTATATAAATATAGGGTTGACGTTCCTTTTAAGAAACGTTTTTTTATAAATTTTAAAAAAAAACTTGGTGATTAGAAAAGTTATCCTAAAGTAGCACTTTTATTTTTGTCGATAAATATGTAACCTTACATTTTATATGTAATTAATTACCAATAAAACTTTGGATTGGACTTAGAAAAAAAAACAATCGTTTAAGACTCAATTATTTCTGAGAAATAAAATGTAATCAGTAAAAACAACTTACTTTGAATCATACAATAAATGTATTATCTTGTTGGGTGCTTGAGTTTAAGTGCTATCACAAATTTACTCAATCACTTAGTAATAATTATATATTTCTATCTACAAAATTAAAAAATAATATATTACAGTATTCTAACGTTTTCCGAACAAAATTAATTTACATTTAATTATATAACGTTTCGGAATTTATTTTAGAAACATGATGTGTAGGAAATTCAATTAAATATAAGCGCATGGAATTGCCTATACTATTCGCCGTCCAACATTTAATTTTCCGCACACAAGTAAAAGTTTATATTATTGGTCGGTACAGAACACGGTGCAACTCGGCGGTTCTACAAAATTGTTCGAACATGATAATATTGTTTTCTGTAATACTCACAATTTTTTCTTTACTTCCCGAACGACTGTTATCCATGACGAACACCACAATAGACTACACATCGGACAACATATCATTATTAAATTAACACTATTTAGCCTACATTGATTTTTTTTTTTCGTTTTATCCGAAGACCTTCAACTATTACGAATATGTGTTCGAAGCATTAAGCCACGTAGGTACATGCCTACGTATAAAACTACGAATGAATGAAATGACCGTAAATAAAAATCCTACCAAAATAAAACAGGCCGGATCGATTGTATATAATCGTTTGGTTAATGCGATGCAGTAATACGTTCACCGATATCATTTAAGTTTCCAATAACCGCTTTTTGTAAATTTCAATAATACTACAGCGTAAAAATCTCATATTATGTATGGTTTAAACATAAGTCTTATCAAATATTTTTGGAAATAATATGTGACTCCAAAACACAAATCAAATACTTATTATTCATTAATAGTTCTTTAACTTATACGACATAAAATACTTAAATATTTATTAACAGTGTGATTTAACTTACTGTTTATATCAGCGGTTTTCATATTGTGGTACATGAAAAAACTACATGGTGGTACGCGGAAGACCACATGGTAATAGAATGGAAATTAAAAATTTGATATTTAATTCATATATTAATTTAAAAACAATAATAAATTTGTATTAACAAAGAAATAATAATTTTACTGTAGTATTTTACTACCTTTTTATTTATAATAAATTTATTTAACTATGTAAAGTTTATATGATTCTATTTTTAATCATTAGTGATACGTGACTGATTGATAATATACTCAAGTGGTACGCAAAAAAAAAAAGTTTAAGAACCGCTAGTCTAGATCATATAAATTACAGTGAGAATTAGACACTGTACATGATTGACAAAAGTTAAAAATCTGTTTAACATTATATTCATGGCTATAATTACACCGGTAAAAAATAAACTAATTGAAACAATCGGATTACAATACGTTGATTACAGTATGATATTTAAGAGTTTAAAGTTATTTGCATCGTCAACACCATCAGAGAAAAACATTTAAAAAAATATCAAATATAAGACCGATTGATCCGAAGAATTTTTTAATTTTTTATCCCTCACGAGTTAACTACTAAAAAAATCGTCCACAGCCGTGGTTTACTATGTCCGTAACCGTCAATTCGAACGTTTAAAGCGGGCCACAACAGATGGGTTGTAAATATTTCGTTTCACAACAATAATTTAAAAATTAACTAATACAACGGTTACGGTATGTTAAAGTGTAGAACACGAAATAACCCGTTTATTCATAATCGTTTTTATGGTATGGTAAGAATTCGAAACTAAAGCAATTGATAATTATTATTCTCAGAAAACTACGCCGGACCAAGTTCACGAGTAGCGTGCGCACGAGAAAGGCACAAACACTCTGCTGGGCGTGCACCCGACATTCGGTTGCATTGACAATGATCATACGAATAGAAGAGAGAAAAACAAAAACGCATGCCAACACTTTCACTTCGGTTAGGGCACCGGCGATCAGATACGCCACTGTGTGTGGCAGTGAGGAAATCGTAATAATACCAAAACATTATTATTTAATATGTATTATCTCCGTTTCATAATGCCAATGGGTGTGGAGGCATGCCCGTTGAGGCCACTGCCGACTGGACTTCGAGATAGTGTACGCGCGACAACGTGCGCCGAACAAGCTCGTGGAACGACAATAGCGTGAAGACATGAATGAGATGGTGCTGTTCATTTTAGTGTACTTTGTGGCCGTTGCATCGGCTAAGGATCCCGATTTAGATATGGCCTCATCTAAAATCGAACTTACTCCCAACAACACGATTCAAGTAAGGTTACAGCTTTTGATCCAATTGAATATTAATACTGGTTTGATTTTTAAACGGTTTTTAAACACCTACAGTTTAAATATTGCGCGCACAAATTATTATACTAACTATTCAAATTTCTCCGGAACGAAAAATAAAATACACCACCGGAACTTATTTTTATGCTTTTACATGACATAGTCTTAATATTATTTGATTACAATATTTGTAATACGCTTACAGTTTAGGACGGGTTGGTTCAAATGTTGAAATCGCAATAATATAGTTATGACATAAGTAATCGAAAACAGTATTTTGTTCAGTGAACAATCGTTTTGGATACGGGTGGAGTGTGAATTGATTTCATTACTCTGATTCTAATACTAAATATTAAGAACTTATACTGATCAGAGTTAGTTACAATAATTCGATTTTTACACTCTGGAAAAACATAAAACAAATTACCATTTACAAATTCTTATGATAACAAACTTTGGAATACTTATATCAAATTAGTTAACCCGCTATTAATATTATGACAATATTCTTATACAAGAGATTCATCACTTATATATAAATATTTAACAAACTTTTCTTAACAAAAAAAAAAATGTATTATGCAAATTATTATTTGATACGGAAATACCCGCATTTATTAATAAACCAACACATGTTATGATCCATTAAGTAAGTAACGGATAACAAATAACTATTTTAAATTAAATGAGTATTTGTTTTGTTGTAATTATTGCATTAAAATAATATACTAGTATTAATATTATTATTATAATTTAAATTAAATTAATAAATATTTGATCCAAGTTAAAATATTGATTAATAATAATTTAAAATATGATTACAGACTAATTACTAAGAATGTACATAGCACATACACAACAATAAAAACATAAATAATAACATAAAAAATGTAAATTTGAAGTCACACTTGACTATTTTTTTATTAAAATGTACTCCTATTAACTAATGTACATAATTAAGATTAGTTAATCATAATAAATTCTTTACATTTATAATCTCTTAAGTGCAATTAAATAACAACCGTAAATTATTATATTTATTTCAAATCACTCCAGAGTTGAATTATTTGATGATTATCTAACATTATATCAACTTACAACGTATACCAAAAATCTATTTTCAAATAATTTCTGTATCGTCGAAAAATTATTACTAAAAACAAAGTAACATTTGTAATTATTTATTGTACTTAGGGTTGAAGTTTTTTTTTAATTATCACTAAAGAAAACTTTAAAATATGTTGGTGTTCCTAGTAGTAGTACGTTGAGTGCTTACTGTACAATTTTACATATGAAAAGTAAATTTCAAGTACACTTTGTAAAAAATATTTATATCGCTCAACTCTAGAGATAAATATTTCAGAGATAACAATTAAACAGTAACAACTTAGATGGTTAAAACTGTCTAAGATGGAATCGTATGGAACCCAGGGCATATTCTGTTTTAGACAAGTTTCCAGCTTATATCAGTTCAATATTTACAATAAAATTAGTGACTAAACCAAGTACAATTTCTATTAAAACTGGTTTCCAGCTTCTTCAAGGCTCATCTTAGACAGGTTTTACTGTTTTACTGTATTTGATCGATAGTGAAACAGAAAATAAAATTAACCTATTATAAATTATTATACTTGTTTTTGAAACAAAAATCAGTTACCAACAGTTATTTATTATTGTTTCCATTATTCGTATGAAAGTTAAGAAGATGTAGAACAAATTGAAAACTCCTAACACGCAGTGATTTATCGACCTTACAATCGAGAATCTAGACTTTTGTTGTCATTGTGAACAACGAGTTGTTTCCCTGTACAAAATGTTTCACAATAGTGTCGGTGCTTTATGTGTCTAAAACATCATAATACGATGTTTTATTAATGCGTTGATTTTTTAAAATTATGTATATTTGTCAACTGAAATCTGAAAGAATTCGAGAAAACATGCAAAGCTCAAAAGCATAAGTTGTTAATAATAATAAAATGCAAATGTGAAGTATAAACATTTACGGTAATTACAATAAAAATCCAGAAAGTAAATAGATCGTTTAATGATAATGTTACGGATAAAGTGTAGGTAGTGTTGTGTGATAATAAATAGTCGTATATATTGGTATAGTTTGATGTACGGCTTTAGATGAGTACTCGATAATATTATCCAACGTTGAGGAAGGGTCCGAGTATACGATTTTAAATTCAAATCGTTATAAATTTTACGAAAAAACGCATAAACCATAAAAATCTAATCGTGAATAGTTTACGTAATTATCCAATGAAAGCAGCCGACACTTTATACTAAACGAAAACGCTTATGTTTGTTTCAGAACTTGCAGTTTGAAGATTTAACGTACAACCTGACGGACTTCACGATTTGCACGTGGATAAGATTATCTAATTTGTCTCACACGCAGACCATTTTCCGCCTGGGTAAGTTGCATCGAATAAAATGTGCACGGATACGAAGCGCAAATATCGCCGAAATATATGCTGTACACCATGGTATTCAGATCAACGGATCTGTAGGCAGTGGCGGTTTTCGAGAAGCTACAAAGGGGGGAGCGAAAATATTTTGCATATACTTACAATTTGCATACATATCCCGTTTATTTGTTTCTATTGCTTGATACATGAGAAGTAATTTTAAGTTCTACACATTTTATACCACAATGACTTAACATAAAAATATAAATATCAATGAAAAAATTAAAATAAAAATTATTTTTTATTGAAACTTAATTAACTGTCAGGAGTTTACCATAGGAGCGAACATTTTTGTAAACAGTAAACAGTTTTAACATAAAATTATCATCAAAACGATTTTTAGTAAACTTTTTGCTCATTCATATTTTTAATTTTTACACGGCTCAAGGGGGGGGTCCACCTATTCCGTAAAACCGCCACTGTCTGTAGGATACATCGAATCCTTATTTCTTCTTCGTACCAGGGCCACGTTGGTTAGAAATCATCTGTAGCTTATTTGATACACTACTTGATGGTAGTACGAAATTGTTATCCCCTCGGTACTCCCAACACCTAGATTGTGGGCTGTAGAGCCTGTGGTGCCTCCGTAGTTGTTGTCATTTACGTTATTTGTAACGCTGTTCGTTTTCAGGGAGCAAAAAAGAAACGCTGATATTATGGCGGATACACGTGCGCCCGAAACAGACGATGCGGATAACGATCAAGAACCGACTGGTCGCCTCAGAGGGCATGCAACTGCCCAAAGGCCAGTGGAGTCACGTTTGTTTCCAGTGGAAGGGACCGACCGGCGTCTGGGCGATGTTCGTCAACGCAAAAATCCATTCGGTCGGACAAGTGCCCGCCGTCGGCAATGACGTAAGTGATTGTAGATCTCGTAAGCGAAACCCAACACGTAATGCATAACCATACAGTTAGGTAGTTTAGCGCGTACAGGCACCCATGTTTGAATAATACAAGCAAGCGTCGGACACTTCACCCGTCCGCGTGCAATTGAACGCGGTTTTTTATTTTTATTTTTTAAAGCGTTTTATCAATTTGTAGAATACGAAAAATACGAGAGTTTCTTTTCGCCATTTTTCTTCCGCTGCTCTTTTTTTTTCTATTTTTCTTTCTTTTTTTTTTTTTTTTTGCAACCTTTGTGACGCACCCGAATACTTGACGCCGTGCCAAAGCTACGAACTGTATCAGATAAAAGAAGTATTTTCACCCAATGAAACCAACATTTTTTACGGCCGACACCCACGTGTTGGATGGACATAAAATCTAGTTTGCCTTCTTTGTTTCCGAATTAACCGCGTAACGGCCGCTGACCGGAATCCAGCCAGCATTTCATGCCCGTATAATCAACTCGAAAATGTCTCCAGAAATGTTTTCGACCTCTCTGAAGTCAACGGATTAGGTTCGACGAACAAAATACTACGCGTTTATGACGAAAATATTCCAAACTATTTACGTTTAATACACAAGCATTAGGTAATAATATGTTATGAAACTGAACACGTAGATATTACAGTTATTATCAGATCTCGGGACTTGATGCATTTAAAAACACCAACAACACGTACAATCCTAATTTTTTCCGTACATTTAAAAAGTCTAAAAATAAATCATAATTTTTTTCGAATTTCCTATGCAATATTTTGCATTATTCTTCTTGACAAATTTCGACCGATAGAAAAGTGTACAAAGTTTATATTTTCTCGTAAAAATAAATAATTTAATGTAAAATGTACAAAAGCATTTGTTGAAACTATGCAACAAAACTGCACGTATTGATTTTAAGCGGGGAAAAAACATGAAATTCGGATTAATGTGCAATTAATTACGGTCCCGCTGTCGCTGCGTAATGCCATCCGAGGCGACATCGAAAACGAGTGATTCGTTACAATTATCTCATACACTGTAATATTGGCCGTGAATCAGTTATCATATCCGCATTCGACGCGTTTTTTTTCTAATAATATCAATACGTCCGTCGTTGGTTTATCGAAAAAATTCCGCTTTACACATCGACCTGTCTGATTTGGTTATGCGTCCGCCGCACCGCCGTAACCCGGGACACCGTCACCGTCACGTTGACCGCTTCGCGTACGTAAACACGTAACCGCGAACACGGCGCTCGTATTTTTTTTTTCGTTTTTAATTTTTTTTTTTTTTATTTACAATATCCGGTTAAAGGTGTTAGTGTACAATAATGCGATACACACAGGCGAAAATAACGAGACGGCTGCACGCCGTGCGTTTGATTCGCAATACTTGGCCGATTGCACAACACACGAACGTTGACGGGAATCGATTAACCGATTGACTAGGCGGTTTTTTTGTCGCGAAAACGGTACAATATATATTTGCCCGACGATGGTTTACCGACGGAATACGATTTGCGGTTGCAGTGTGGTGTTATTATGCGAATCAATCGATGTACGCGGTTCTTTATGTAATTTATTACGCGATAATTAACACCGAACGCGTGTTTTATAATTATGTAGTTTTTTTTTTTTTTTCTTTCTTTCTCGCGGTGGCGGTATTAAGATTTTTATTATAATATTATCGTGGTGAACGAACCGCTGTTTAAATACCCATCACTATGCCTGATGGTATTTTGCGTTTCTAATTATAATTGATAGCGAAAGAAAAAAAGAAAAAAATCGAACAATATCTTTTACTACATAATGTGTGATATTGTCGATCAAAAGAAAATATCAACGGTACACTTATTGCATTGAAAGTGTGTTATAATTGTCTCTCTCACACTCCTGCTGTGACAAAACGTGTTTTCTACACGTACCGACGATATTAAACAAAAACAATCGATAAAGTGAAGAACGTAATGCGAAGGGTTCGTTGTTGAAATAATATTTACTTACTCGCATCATTTGTTAAAAGATACACGAGTGTTTCAGTTGCGCTTAAAGCATTTTCGTTTTCAACATAACAAACACGACACCGATTAATCGTGGTTTTCCCTGATTTCACGTTTTCGTTTTTTAAACTTCGAAAACCAAAAAAATGACATTCTAAAGTCTAGTGTTCAGATCACTTTTTAATGGATAACAAAAACCGTCGTATATTTGTATAAAATTTTTATAGTTATAATAATAATTTAAAAAAAATGTAAAAAAAGATTAGTAAATGCGATGCATGACTTGTATATTCGATCATTATCTAATGTACTTAAAAACCTGAGTTTGTATGTCTGACGTGATTCAATATATCTATTCAGTAACATGTATATTACCGTGTTACCACATTCGTTAATCGAAAACGAACAAATCGATAAATGTTCGAAACAATAGGTAAATATAGACTAAATAATATAAACAATGCGGTTTCTAATCTAAAATGGAATTTTAATGTCCCTTCAAATTAAAAATATATTAAATAATAATAATAATAATATATATAAATTCTCTATAGGTATAATTTTGCATAGTATATAAGTACAAAAAAAAAAAATGCTCAGTGTTCAGTAATAATATTTTTACTCGAGTGACTATATATTGTATTTAATATTCCTGCAGTTCAATAGTACCGATATTTTAAAATAAATATTTAAATAGACATATAAAAATAATAATTTTATCAGTCAATAATACACATTTTGTTATGAAACGTATTTATATTATTTTATTTATTTACGACCTTCGTTGTATTCTTACACAAATTGTATAAGGCGTTCAAAAGTAAAATTCTACAGAATATAACGATATACACAACTACACAAAGCATTTGGTTCGTTTACTTAGTTGATAAAATGTGTATATAATATCAATTAAATAATCCAATATAAATATTTAGATATAAAATATAGTATCAAATATAATTTTAGTATATAACTCTTTAAATCTGTTCGTGAACACCACACCAGCAATCGAAATCATCACTTAAGACCATTTTGGCATGCATCCATGTGAACTACGTCAGTGAAAAATCATAAATTACTGTTATGTGCTTTTAGTCATAATGAATACTTTTATCTTATTTAAATAATTGGGTACTTAAATTACTCTGATATTCATTAAAATAAGTATCTTATTTAAATAATTACAATATTGGTGATCATAGTTGAAAGTAGTACGTAATATATTAAATAATTAATATTACATATCAATCTAATAATAATAATATTATTTCACTGCTGGTCAATTTACCACACAAAGTCAAACATTATAACAACGATTAGAAATCCTTAAATAATACGTGAAATTATAATACAATTTAGTCAAATTTCAAGTGCATTTTCGTCCACTATTCTTTGCTTTTACATTTAATTCAATAATTTTTATACAATCAAAATTTTGGGTTTCAAGACTTGACGATTTAAACAGAATTTTAACAAAAATAACTACACTTGAGTTATCATAAAAGTCAAAAGTTTAGTCCAACAATCATTTTTTGAGTTTTTCGACGAAATGTAAACTTAAATAGTCAAAACAGTAACAATATTATATGTATAAATAATGGAATTTGTGGTATAAAATTTTACCTGCCATAGAATATATTTTTCATTCATTATATTTATTTATTTGCAAATACTAGCGATGTAATAATAGAGTACTTTTAGTTGAATATTAAAAATTAACAATGGAAACTAGAATCAATAAAACATCGATAAAATTATATTATCTTTTTTTACGTCCCATAGATGTTGGTTAATTCAATGTAATTATATCATATTTTTAATGACCTGCGATAAATTTGTTTGCGGTGGCAAGTACTGCTTTATCGTTACAATATTACAAACAGGAAGACGTATTAATTTGAAACATTTGAATGGAATATGAACATAACAAACCAGTGTTTGTAGGAAATGTGTTTTTTAAATTAAATTTTTTTAAAACTCGTCCAGTATGCATAGTAATACGAACTTATTTTCCACATCGATTAATGTGTACGTACTGATAAAATACTTAAATCGAGGTGTTAAGAAGGGTAGCCCTGAGCCGGTCACCCTTAACATTTTACCGGCCACCCATCGGCCATTTTGTTATTAAAATAATGCAAACTAAACCTAAAGTTCAACTAAAACTGCTATTGTGTTCATTTATATAGAAAATAAAGGAATCTCCACTATAGAATCAAAACCGGTATAGTCACCTGTATAATTCGATAGCCCTTACAACAATAATTTTGATCACGTCATATCTATTATTATATAGTGCTGTTGTTGGACACTACGCGATGCATTACCTTACGACCCATGTATTATGTGTTATACAAACGTATATGATATTAATTTTACACGAAAGTTTGCACTTTTGAGGATAATGGTAAACATTATTAGCCATTACTAATAAATTTCGACCCTGAGTAAGCCGTCCTACTTGTAATAAATCGTACCGGCGTGTCCTATGTCCTCTATGTGCTTTTTAATAGTTTGTCATATGGTTACACCGTATACTCGTATCCCATACGTATTGATTTGCTTATGAGGTGAGATTTTATTTTTCGCTGAAGATCACAAAAGAAGTTCAACAACATAATTTTTAATTTTTTTTGGTTAAAGACAGTTTAAACAAGTATTCCTATATATTAAAGATAACTGATAGTTGATGAAACAATTATATGTTACATCGAATATAGTTTCACAAGAAAAATTAATTTTATTCAATCTATAACTTTTTCTGACCTTTAGAAAACTAAAGTATTTGTATTTGAATACTGTAATTTCAAATATATATATAAAAAAAAAAAATTTTATAGAAGAATATAGAAGAAGCCAGTGACGTGTTTAGGGAGAAGGAAGGTTAGGGGTTATATCTCCCCATTGTCTTTTTTTAAACCTACAGAAAACAACTTATTAGTTATTAAAGCCATTTTAAAGTCATAACTTTTTATTAGTTATTAGCAAAAAG